ATTTCTTCCAGTTACCATGTCATCATCATCCCCGGAAGACCAATATCCTTCAACATCTCTTGAAACCATTTTTACAAAAGCTTTTTCACTTTCAGCCATCTTATGTGCCTTTCAGACGTAGTAGGCAGAATCCTTGATTTTTGGTTTTTGCAGAGCATCAGCCAAACAATCTTTAGAAATATGGTTTGCATGTCCACACTTATAACACACAATTCTTTGTTTGTCTGATTTGGAACTTTGAGAGGGTTCGAAAGTAGAGTTTGGCTTAGTAACGTTTAGTATGTATACAAGAGGATTTTCAGAAGAGGGTTTAGGTTCCAGAGCTGAGTATGGTTGAGGATTATTCTGGTGAGGAGCATGGAATTGGTTTTGGTATGGTTTGTAAGAGGAATTAAAATGGAGTTTGTACTTCATTGAGAGTAGAGCAATATCCTATTGGAAATGGAGTTCAAAGTCCATGGCTTCAGAATCATCAATAAGATAGATTTGTCTGGGTACGGTAGATGCAAATGTTTAACTGAATGAATAGTTGGTTTGAAAGGATCCAAAGTAGATGAGTTCGGAAGGATTGATTCAAAGGAACTGACAAGGGCAAGAAGACCTCCGGAGAGTTCCCTTATGGTTTGAGCAACATTAGATCCATGCCCTTGAAGTTCATCAAAGAGTTGATAGAGTTTCAACTTCTTTAAGGAACCATTGCTTTGTAGACAGGATTTCACATTTCCCCATCCATTACCCAGACTGTTTATAAATTTGATTGTACTCCAATGGAGTTCTGACAATCCCATGAGCAGTCATGTTGTTGACACAATTCGGTAACGGTTGGAGGCTGAGGCCACTGATTCGCCAGGAGTGGTTGCGAAGGTGTCAAAGTCATTAACGACTAAGGTAAGGCACTTATCTTTCATATTTTCTGAACCTTCAATAAGGTCTTGAAGACTGTCCCGTATCTCTTTGGCTGATTTACGTAGCTTGATGTGCTCAAAGAGTGAAGGAGGAACACCAAATACCATTTCGAAGAAACCAAGTTGATCAACATGCAGCTTCTAAATATCATCTGCAGTTAGAGGAGCTGGACGAATTTCATCTTGACCCATAAGTTGAGTAGCAAGATCTCTTACAATGGTTCTTATAGGAACATGAGGACCTTCTTTGATGGATCTCCAGATTTCTTCACCTTTATCTTTGGCCAATAAAAATGTTTCCATTCTAACTTTCCAGTGATCATATTCTTCCACAGCTAGTAATGGGTCACATGTAGGGCGACCCACATTATTTGCGATTTTCATGGAAATCATTTGTTGAGGATTAGAAGCAGCCATTAAAGTTAAGATATCTTGAGTAAAAGTGGTATATAGAATAACTTTTATCTTGAACACAGAAATGACTGAAATACCAAGGTAATTTCAAACAAATGATATTATGATCTTAGGGATTCAAAGGACAACCACTGAAGCTCTGATACCAATTGAGAGTGCAAGAACGATCTAATGCGCAGGGACAAGATTTGAGAACTCAATCCTTGAGTGAATGCTTAAGATTAATGTCTGCTTGCTAATAAATGTTCAAGCCAAGCCTGGAAAGACCAGTCAAGTCTTAGATGATGTTTTCAGCAAATGATCAAGTCATTAAATGAAGAATGAGAATAAATGATCAAAGTAAACCTAATAAATGAAGAACAAGAAGACTGTTTGAGAGAAGTTTTAGAAAAACTTAGTAAAGGCCAAAGTAGAGTGAATGATCCGTAGTTGACTTGTATTGAAAGCTCCTTTAAATAAGAGTGAAAGATACAATGTACTAACTAGAGTGTTTACATAGGACTGGACAATAGAGGTGCTTCTAACATTCTGATTGTCCAATTACAACAAAAAACTAAGTTCTATGAAATGTTACATCAATACAATAAATGAAATAAGACAAAATTAAGTTGTTCTGGATCAGCATCCATTTCGGACATGAGAGCCACTCCAGAATGTCTTCACTTAATCTTTTCTTCTTCTTCTCCTCTTATGGTCAGAACAGATTCCGGACCACCCTTCATATCTTGCTCCGAACCATCATTAAGTTAGGAAGATATCTACTTCGAAACTTTAATCTTAGGATTGCTAAGGTTCACTTTTAGGTTCCAACATAAAGTCTCTTGTCTTGACCTCAAGTTGTTCTTTTAGAGGTTTTTGGCCCTTCCTTAGAGTGTATCCTTCATATTTAAGGTCCTCAATCTCCCTAATTATTAATTCATGTTGATCACTAAAAAGTTTCATCTTAGCTTCACAGGATTGAGAGCATGAAGCTTCATTAACCTTGGTGATTGAAGAACTCATTATTCGCAAAAAAAAAATTTACCAAAAATAGAAGTGATTGTGAAACCTAGAAAAAAAATGCCCTTTGACTTGAATCCTCGAAAGTCATACTAAAATTCAAACTTGAAAGTCAAAAGTTGACCGAAAAAAAATTGTAGACCGAAAATGAGGCTTCAAGACCAAGAACCAATGGTATTTGACTGAATACGTGCTTGTTTGACCAAAAATGAATCCGTATAACCGAAAACGAAGTTATTGGATCGAAAACGTGGCTTTTGGACTGAAAACAAGCCAAAAGATTAAAAATCTGAAATTACGGCCAAAATTACGAGGCCTCTTGACCGAAATGTAGAAGATCTGAGATTACTACTGAGTTGTGTGGGGCTCGCATTGAAATATCTCAAACCGAATACACTGGACCGAACCGAAATTGCAGGCCGAAAACACTGATCGAAATCCGAGACCGAGAAGACCGACCGACAAGTGACACCGAAAATGTGTGAACCGAGATCTCCTAGCTTCAAACCGAGAATGACGCTGAGGACTTTGCAACTGAGAACCGAAGCTGCTGACCAGAAACACTGCTAACTGAGATCCACTGAAACCCTAATCTGAGAGCGAGGCTGCTACCGAGAAATCCGAAATTTGGACCCGGGAGTCAAACCATGATCTCGCAAATTTCGACGAAAAACACCCAAAACTTGCCAAACACACTAGATTTTCAAATCTTTAATACCAAACTCGATCAAAACTCCAAAAATATGAAGAACACGAAGAACAAATAGTCAAAAATTTCTCCAAAAGAATTAAAAAACATCCAGAAATCCAAGAAAAAACTCCAAGAAATTCTTAAAATATTGCAAATTTGATTGATCACAATCGAAGCTTTGATACTAATTGTAAGTTCCCAAATCGCTACGTATCAATCAGATTTCACTATGATGGTGCTGAATCCTAATCAAGTGAATGATGCAAGATCAAATATAGAATAAGAACATAATGGTTAATCTTCAATGCACACTATTATTGAATAGTCGGGTACATAAGATTCTTGTTTACACTTGGTTTTCTCTGTTTCTCTGCAAAAATCACATCCCTAGCAGTTGACAGCCACAAAAACGTCTCTTACCCTTATCTAGGCTAAACTAACACTATTTATACCTGGACCTAATAAAAAAACCCAAGCCCAAGCCCCAAACAAAACTATATTAAGCCTAACCAAAATCACATGCGATTTCTGTCGAAATAACACCAAAACATGGTGTTTTCGCTCCTACCCCAAGAACTCTAATAGCTTATGAAATGCAAAGTATAAAACACAATTTATGACCTAACAGTAATCGCACAAGCTTTTCATAACATAGAATTTTTGCTTGATGGGTTGATAACCAATCCATTCTGATGATCGCATCGAAACTTCCAATGGTCATGGCATTAAGTCGATAGGGAACATGTGATTATTCGATGTGAGGAGATAGTTGGTGAGTATTTCTAAGGTGATTTCTATTTGAGCATTTTCTACCTCTACCGTGTAAGCATCATTATGTTTGCATGATTCTTGATTTATCATTTTTCTAAACTTGTGGGAAATAAAGCTCTTATCAGAACAAGTGTTATATAATACGGAAACATAAATAATGTCGATAGGAAACGTACCAGTAACCAAAGTTGGTTCTATACATGCATCTCCGGCACCTATCACAAATTCCGTTCCTTAACCACCTTAATTCTTCAGCTTAGGAAAGTCTTTCCTGAAATTTCCTGGTTGGTTGCACTCGAAGCAGGTTCGACTTCCTCTTGTAATAGCAACCGAGGCTGTGTTGTTTGGGGTCTTTCTGGAAAATTTGTCGGTGTGACCCATTAACTTGTAGTTGCTACAAATCATATTGTTTCCAACATGATGATAGTTGCACTTGGGGCGGTGAGTTAGGGTTTCAGCGTAGGGCTTTGTTGGAGTCGGAGTGCTTGAGACAACAACATATACTGATGTAGATTCTGGATTTGGCTTGCAACGCTTGAAGTTACCCTTCGGGATTTCAATGGAAATTCCTTTTAGTATTCCTAACTCTATCCTTCTCTTTTGATGGGGTCATGGTACCGCGTCAGATGAATTGCTACGTCAACTCATAGTCCAGTTTTTTGGTGCTGTCAAAAGTGGAGGGTCTGGATGTAGTAACCAGACCTTGGACTGGCGATGCTAGTCTCGAAATGTATCTAACCATATTTTTGTCTTATGAGGGCACCATTACATGGAAAAGAGTTTCAATATCTTCTAATTTGGAGGTGTAAGAAGCTACCTCTAATCCTTGCATGGTTAGATTACAGAGCTCTTGTTCTAGTGCTTGAATCTCCTATCGCGGGCAATACTCCTCGGTCTTCATCTGTTTCATCTATTCCCATACCATGGAATTATATTTGGCAATTCAAATGGACTTTTCATGGTTTTTCCACCAAGTTAAGCTGGAATCCATCAGTGTGCAGGTAGCATACTTAAACCTGTAGTCATTTGGGCAAGAGCTGATGTGAAAGACAAACTCAATCTTTTCTATCCAGCGGAACAAGCCAACAACTCCTTCAGTTTTGTAAAAGGGTTGCGGTTTACAATCCATGAGTTATCTATAGGAGCAGTGCTTGAGATTGTTTTGGGTAAATAAAGGAGTAACATTTCCACTATTTCTAATATTCCCGTTTCGAGCAGCCTCATATGTCACCAAGGATGTAGCAATCCCTTGTGCAATCGTATTTTGCATCATAGTGGGATCCATTTGGAAAGTTGTATTGGTATTTGTTGTGCTTGGGGCTTTCTACAGGGTCTGGAGTTCCTTCTGTTGTTTGAGTTATATCTGGAAGACCTCTGCTGTTAGTCCCAGGAGTCGGTGGCGGACGAACTCGTGGTTCTTTTCGTCTAGGCATTCTCCTAATATGTTCGATAAGTAATTTGATTATTGTACGCCATGTAGTTATAATAAGCATGCGTGTATTTTGTATTCATTCAATTTGTTTTTCCCGAAATCATCTTGGTTTTCTAGTCATAAGATAGAATTTCTACCCGATATATAGTCTTGCAAGCAATAAATATATAAACATTTTAACAAAATACTGAAATATTTTCAATAGATCCGCTTGTTTTGGTTACATAGTTTTAGCCATATAAGGTTAAAAATGGAAAAGCTTTACAGAAGATCTAATACAAACCATGCAATGATAAACATTTCCAAATAAAATCTATTACTCAAAAGTTCTAACCTTATCCTAGGGCACAAGCCGCCCTAGATACAATACCCAAGGTTTTAAAACTAATTACTCGGTACTTGCTCATCCGACTACCGAGTAGCGAGTACTCGGGAGTACTCGGATTCGGTAATTCATGTACAAATATTTTTAGGGACATTATATATGTCAAAATCATAAGTTAAAATAATAAGTTAATAGAAATATATAAAAAAAAATTAGATACATGTGAATACACAAAAACTGAAAAAACACATAATGGTCTCACTTCGTGAATAATTACTGGAAATTTAAGATATATATGTAGTAATAATCACATGTGAGTGTGTTAAATAATAAATCACTAATTATATTATACATATTAATCATCAAGTTGACCGGGTTTTACAACATTGCTTAGTTCGGTAAGGGGCCGACCGGGGAGTACTCGGGATTTTGCAACTCGCCTCGGTAAGGGTCCGATTAGCGAGTACTCAGAGGAGTAATCAGCCAACTCGGCGATTTTTACAACACTAACAATACCTACTTCCCAAAGTGAGTCATCATGTAGAGGACATAATCCTCAAACTGATCCAAGATGTAATAGAGTTCTCGAGCAGCGACAACTGCCTGATGTTTGGCGGCCACAATTTCAGTCTCCAAATTCTAGATCCTTTAATCTTGTCCCCTAACCTGAGTACTCATGGCATTTACTGTAGTGCGATCAGCACTGGAGTGATGATAAAAATTCTGAATGACATCAGAATCCTCCTTCTTCCCCTCTTCAAGCACCTCGACTTGATGTGAAAGGGAAGTAGAACCAAAGTCTATTATGAGACTCTCTAGGGATCCAACTTTGTCCTTCATCCAATCAGCTTGTGACATGAGGTGTTGTATCGGGTCCTTCTCAAGGTTAAACCTGAGTGCTGATCATGAGGATTTGCCAATCTCTAATCATGGTGGCAAACCACTGATGTACTTCTTGCGAAGGAGGTTTGTGAACCATGACGGATCACTGGCAAACTTTTGTTTCCTGAACTGACCACAAGTTGTTTGGGGAACAGATGCAGCTGGGTCTAAATGGTAAATGGAGGATATACTAGTCCCCAGGGGTCCTCATTAGCTAAGTACCCTTGCTACAAAGGCGGTATGGTCGATAATGTTGTCGTGGTGGAGAGACTGGTGGAGTAGGAGGAGCGGGTTCCTCCTCAGCGCGATCCTCCTCATCCTCGGTAGGATCGTCAACATCAGTCTTTTGGGCCTCATGTGGTATGTCCTCGTCATCCATTTCTTCTTCCTCCTTAGGATCGTCTTCTTCCTCATCCTCTAATGGGTCCTCTTCCGTATCATGCTCCTCTGGGTGCGTTGGAGCGTTGATGAGAAAATATGGGTCTTCAGCTAAATTCAATGGAACTTCATATAGCTCTTCAGGATCCTCAATGTGAAACCACTCCTCGGGGTCCTTATGTAACCCAGCCATCTACATAAAAAGATTTTAAGTAGATTAGTAAATTGTGTAAGTATTTTATAAGCATTTTATAAGCACTAGCTCGACCATAAATAACATATGCGTGCATTTCAGGTTTATTTGTGGTATAACTTATATACTTTACTAACCTTTAATTGAGGCGTCTGACCTAAAGGGTTGAGTTGGTCGTTTTAGTAAAATGGATGGTTAGAATTTTTATTAAGTGTTTACATCGTAGGTTGAAGTATATATAAAATCTTATATATTATGGTTGGTGGGGTTTGTAGTATTATTAATTTTTGTTTTGTACTTCCCAACTACCGAGCACAGACTGGGCCAGACACAAAACATCAGAGGGTAGGACCATATTGGCATTTAAGCAGTTCTGAAATCCAACAACCCTGTGTGGCCTTTCAAACTAGATTCCCCGTACCGTAAGTAGCTGAGAAGTGGTTTTTATTATTAATAATACTTTTATAGAAGCTAGTTGTTATAGTTGTATACGTCTTTCGAGGATACGAGTTCTCTATAGCCAATTTAGCTCTGATACCAATCTGTCACACCCCCAGCCGAGGTGGAGGAACACGCCAGGTTGTGTGACTAAGTTCATGGATAAAAGATAAATTGAATATACATCACAAGTATAACAATAAACAAAGCAGTATTTACATTACAAATTTATGTTTTCATACAAGGTTCTTACAAATAATAATAATCATAATAAAATGAGCATGATTTTGCCTTAATAGTCAGGCATAACACTAAAAAAGTAGAAAATTCAAGTACTTGCAAGCCACGTTTTCCAACGTCTGAGTGAGCCCTAAATTTCATTGATTTCCTGAGAATACATGTATTTTGAAAGTCCACACGAGGTTGGTGAGAGTCACAGGTTTTCTTCTGGCCGTATTAATGATACTTTTATAAAGTCCAAAAGTATTTTCTTTGTATGTATAACAACAGTTAAAACAATGTTTTCAATTAGTCTTCATAAGCCCAAATTGAATTTTCGTATAATAAATCCATGCATTAAAATTTGCTTGTAATAATTCCTTGAAATTCAAAATGTTTCCTTTGTATAAGAAATTTCTATACTTAAAAGTAGTTTCGAAGTCAGCCAAACTTGTGGTTGTAATGAGTGAGAGTGAGTGAGTGAGAGAGATATTCATGTTAATGCTTATAGTGAATTCTATAATCAAGCTATTAACGAAAAGTACCCATTCCTAAAATGCTTCATTGGACGTTGTAGTAATGATAATAAACACATATCACTTGCTATGATTGATCAGTCCAAGGTTGTAGCTACCAGCCACAGGTGGGGTTATCTACCCCATATAGATCTATACATATGTACCTTTCTCTGAAGATTAACTATTCTAGTAGTGTAGGGTAGGCTATGTGGTTAGACTTAGCTAATGAATAAAGTATCATCTCACTAAAACGCATTAGCTTAAACTTTGTGAAAAATCTCTCATCCCTAACTTAATTATAATTAAGTACCATGCATAATGAATTCCATAGTATAACATTCATAAAAGCCGAGTATGGTTGACGTATTTATGAAAGTATAAATTACTCGCTTTTATAGAGAAATATATTTCAACATAATGAACTTGTGTATGTGTGTAAAGCCTTATGCATAAATATATTCATGTATAGTACTTATGTATTTTGTAGCATGCATATCATATGATACTTATGTATTTTGTATCATAAATACTATTTAGCACATGTCTTCTCCTTTAAAATGAATAAACATAAAAGATGGGTCGTAACACTCACCTTGATATGCATTTAGCGAGTTCTTTTTTGGTGTCAGATGCCTGAATTAAGAGGTGTTGTGAATTTAAAATTTCGAGATTAGCTTAATTTTGATGAAAGGAGAGGTAATAGGAACTTTCTATGATGATGGAAGACATCCAAAGTAGCGGAAATTCCGAGGTGCAGAAGTTCCGAGATGTAGAACCTCCTAGGATTGATGAAATTCTGAGGTAATGAAGGGTCCAAAGTGGTTTGGAGTCTGAAATTGAAGAAATTTCGAAGTCATCAGATCTGAAATCAGAAGGATCCAAATCCGGTAGAATATCCAAAGTGGAAGAACTCCGAAATAGGAAGAGGTTCCAAAGTGGGCAAAATTCTAATTTCATCGAATTCTAAAGTGGCTGAAGATCCGAAGTTGGTTAATTCCGAAGTTGAAGAGGATCCGAAGGTGATAGATTCTGAAGTTGAAGAAGGAAATTCTGAAATTGTATTGTTGTTTTCATCTTTCTTCTACTGCTTTGAGTTGATTTCAACAAAAGGATGGGAATGATATAGGTGTATAAGGGAGAGGCTATATGTGTGGTCTAGAGTGGTCTAGGATGGTTGGATCAGTGTGTGTATGTTTTTTACTAAAAGATATTTGGTAGAGATTTGGAAGATATTTGAGAGAGAGTTGCAAGACTTGAGAGATATTTGAGAGTGAAAGAAGAAAGAGCCGTGATGGTGAGGATTAAAGGAGGAGATGAGCTCTATTTATATATTTTGTGGATGTGGGATTGATTGTGGACCAATCCTTTTGGTTATTTAAAAAAAATATATTAATTAATGTTATTGAATAAAAAAATGATTGGTAAATACCATCTAATTTCATTATAAGGGTATTTTAGTGTAACGTCCCAAAAACAAGACCCTAAAATTTCATTTTTAGTTTCATAAATTCAGTATTCCAAAGCTTCATCAATAGAATCAAGAAAAAATAAGTGTATCAAACATCATCTCAAATCAGAGTAAATCACAAAATGTGGAACAAGGTGTTGTGTGCTCTGCAACCATCCTGAGCCCTTGCTTTTGGAACTGGAAGTATGTGTTACAAAAACTGAAAATAATAAGCACTAAGCTTAGTGAGTTCCCAAAATACTACATACCATAAAACAATAAACATTTAATGGGCCCCACGAGTCATCGGGCCCTTCCCGACATTGGACCCCGTTCAATATATAGATAGGGCCCCACCCAACATCCATATACCATCTATCAAATAACACATACACATTCAATAATCACAGAGATACATAGCATACAAATTGGTCATCGGGCCATTCCTGGTAAGAATCAAGTACATAACACGTGCAAGAGTCACGCAGATATCTAGCACATTAACATAGCATAATCAATGTCTGACATTTGGTGCCTTCAACCCACTAAACATAGTGAGAAACTCACCTCGAACTGCTGAATTACACAGAAAGATCTATGGCTGCTGGTTCGACAAATCGCGAGCTATTAATACCAAATAATATCTAATTATAATTGGATTCCAATCTATAACATCAGTCCATACTTTGGATAAAATGACTATTTTGCCCCTTACCTAGTTTGGTCCAAGACTAAGGCCCAAACCTACAATCCAAAAGGCCCAATTCCAAGTTAATCATGCATGGCCTATTTATGCCTAATTTTCGAAATTGGGACCAAATCCCATTGTGGGCCGTCTCAAAATAAATAGTAGCTCAAAACATGATGGCCTAATAGGGTCCATACAACCAACCTAAAATATGGCCCAAACATCTGAAGTCCAACACAGGGCATGTCACACCCCACTAAAACGGAAACGCAAGGTATGATAGCGATAACGGTTTCAATGCAAAAGATAAAGATACATCACCATAGCAGTATTTAAAAGTTTACAACCCATAGCTTCAAAAGAAACAAAATACAAGTTTTTCAAAATAACATTGTTCAAAATATAGCTTCATAATAGCTTCAACACGATGCAGCATGCTCTATGATGATGAATCTTTACATCCACTTACTAATTACTTCCTGAAAAAGCATGTAAAACGAGCGTCAACTATGAAAATAGTTGGTGAGTATCACAAGTTTATAAATCGAGGGTACAATAATGCTTTTCGTAAGTACAAGTACATTGCTTTAATGATAAAACATAGTTGATTGCTATTAAGGTATACAAGTTTATTGCTAGAACGGGAAACGCGTTTGTATGTGTATGAGCAAACAATGAGTCTCAACCAAACGTATGATTGAAGCCCTATCGAGATCTATGCTTATCGTTCCATAGATGAATATCGTATCATGCACTCCAGCGATTCGGGCGAGTGAGGAGTTGTCAATTCCTAATAGCGCTATCCATAACGACCATTGGCTCAAAGAGTTAATGGTTAGAGATAAGGGAAGGGCCTTAGTACGATAAGTTCTCATGTTCCGTGTTGCATAGACACACATAAAGAAACATAGCAATACAATAGCAATCATGTTTGATAGAATTCAATTTAAATACAACATGCAAACAGTAGTTTTTCTGGACATGTTTTTCCACCCCAAAACATAAAAACCGAAAATAGGGGAGTGCGTGAATACTCACGATGTTTTGTGTAGACACAAGCGGTACTTCGGGATGCACCAACGTCTTACTACCAGGATCCTACGACATCAAACACACGCACTAGTGAGTTTCCATGTCGATATCTAATGCTAATATACTAAACTCTACATATAGGGAAATGCCAATTTATGTTTTAGTATTGGATTTTATATCAATTAGTTACACTTTTTCTGAAGTAATGAAATTCTATAGATCGGACGATTAATTACAACCTTGGAATATAAACTTTCCAAATTTTTAAGTCCTTATTACAACATAAATTCACGAAAATAGCATTCGAGGGATAAAAATTCTCAAACTTTTTATTTAACTGTTATTACACAATACTAAGCTGGGAAAATTATAAAAATGGATTTCCAAGCTGTTTAATTATATTTTATGATTTTTGAGCATTTATTTCAATAAAAATTGAAATAAATAGAAAACAGTTTCCAAAATTACCCAAACTTTTTATTTAATTGTTATTATACATAAATAGGCTGCGAAAAATATAAAAGATATTTTTCAGTGGGTATTTCTATTTTTCCTTGCTTTATTCCTTTAAATAGTCATTAATTAAAGAAATAATATTAAACAGTTAAAATAAATCACCATAAATTTTTGTAACATCATTTACAGTATAAATATCCTG